AATATAAAACCAACAGCCAACATCATTCTTAATGGGGAGAGGCTGAAAACATTCCCCCTGAGAACAGGAACAAGACAAGGATGCCCTTTATCACCACATCTATTTAAAACTGTATTGGAAGTCCCAGCTAGAGCAATAAGGCAAGAAAAAGAAATAAAGGGCATTCAAATTGGTAAGGAAGAAATAAAACTATCCTTATTTGCAGATGATATGATACTACACATAGAGAACCCAAAGGACTCTACAAGAAGACTACTGGAACTAATAGAAATATTCAGCAGAGTAGCAGGATACAAGATGATAATAATACAAAAATCAGTTGGATTCCTATACACCAAATAAAGACAACTACGAAAAGGAAATCAAGAAAGCAATACAATTTATAATAGCCCCTAAAAAAATAAAATAGGAATAAATCTAACCAGGGACGTGAAAGACATATACAAAGAAAACTACAAAACACTACTGCAAGATACCAAAAGAGAGCTACACAAATAGAAGAACATACCATGTTCATGTATAGGTAGACTGGACTTTGTGAAAATGACAATTCTATCCAAAGCAATCTACAAATAGAATGCAATCCCAATACCAGCAGCATTCTTTAATGAGATGGAAAAACTAATTATTAACTTTGTATGGAAAGGAAAGAGGCCCCAGATAAGTTAAGCTCTAATGAAGAAAAGGAATAAAGTAGGAAGACTCGCACTACCTGACCTCAGAACCTACTATACAGATATGGTAGTCAAAACAGCCTGGTATTGGTACAACGACAGACACATTGACCAACGGAACAGAATCAAGAACACAGATGTAAATCCACCTACCTATGGTCATTTGATCTTTGACAAAAAAGCCAGCATTTTTAACAAATGGTTCTGGCAAAACTGGATGTTCATCTGTAAAAAAAAATGAAACAGGACCCATACCTCACATGATACACAAAAACTAATTCAAAATTGATCAAAGACGTAAATATAAAACCAAAAATTATAAAGATCATAGAAGAAAAAATATGGTCAACACTAGAGGCCCTAATACATGGCATAAAGAGCAAACAAACCATAACTAACAATAATCAGAAGACAAACTAGATAATCGGGATTTTTCTAAAAATTAAACTTACACTCATCAAAAGACTTCACCAAGAGCAAAAAGAGAACCTATAGACTGGGAAAAAATGTTTGGCTATGACAAATCCAACAAAGGTCTAATCTCTAAAATATATAGGAAAATTCAACATCTGTACAACAAAAAGACAAATAATCCAATTTAAAAATGGGCAAAGGATATGAACAGACACTTGACCAAAGAAGACATTCAGGCAGCTAACAGACACATGAGAAAATGCTCGAGATCACTAGCCATTAGAGAAATGCAAATCTAAACTACAGTCAGGTACCATCTCACCCCAACATTATTGGCCCTAATAAAAAAAACAGAAAATAATGAATGTTAGAGAGGCTGTGGGGAGACTGGAACTCTTATATACTGCTGGTGTGAATGCAAAATGGTACTACCATTTTGGAAAACAATATGGCGCTTCCTTAAAAAGCTAGAAATAGAAATACCATGTGATCCAGCGATCCTACTCCTAGGAATTTATCCTAGAAAACTAAGAGCCATCACATTAACAGACATATGCGCACCCATGTTCACTGCAGCATTATTCACAATAGGAGAAAGATGGAAACAACTTAAGTGCCCATCAACAGAGGAATATATAAACTATGGTACATAAACACAATGGAATACTAAGCAACAATACAGAATAACAATGAATCTGTGAAACATCTCACAACATGGATGAATCTGGAGGGCATTGTGCTGAGTGAAATACATCAATCACAAAAGGACAAATACTGCATGAGACCACTATTATAAAAACTCATGAAAAGGTTTACACACAGACAATCTTTGACGGTTATGAGGAAGCGAAAGGGAAGGAAGGGAAAAACACTAACTAGACAATAGGTAAGTGGTAACTTTGGTGAAGGGTAAGACAGTACACAATATTGGGGAAGTCAGCACAACTTGACCAAGGCAAGGGCATAGAAGCTTTATAGACACATCCAAACTCCCTATGGGACAGAATTTCTGGGCTGAGGGCTGGGGACCATGGTCTTGGGGGACATCTAGCTCAACTGGCATAACATAGTTTATAATGTTCTATATCCTACTTTGGTGAGTAGCGTCTGGGGTCTTAAAAGCTTGTGGATAGCCATCTAAGACACTTCACTGGTCTCACCCCATCAGGAGCAAGGCAGAATGAAGAAAACCAAAGACACAAGGGAAAGATTAGTCCAAAGGGCTAACGGACCACAACTACCACAGCCTCCACCAGACTGAGTCTAGCACAACCAGATGGTACCTGGCTACCACTGACTGCTCTGAAAGGGATCACAATAGAGGATCCTGGACAGAGCTGGAGAAAATGTAGGACAAAATGCTAACTCACAAAAAAAGACCAGACTTACTGGTCTGACAGAGACTGGAAAAACCCCAAGTGTATGGCCCCCAGACACCCTTATAACTCAGTACTGACGTAACTCCTGAGGTTCACCCTTCAGCCAAAGATTAGACATACCTATAAAACAAAATGAGACTAAATGGGCACACCAGCTCAGGGCAAGGACGAGAAGACAGGAAAGCTGGTACAGGGAACCCAAAGTCAGAAGGGGAAAGTGTTGACATGTTCTGGGGTTGACAACCAATGTTATAAAACAATATGTGTATTAATTGTTTAACGAGAAACTAATTTGCCTGTAAACCTTCATCTAAAGTATAATAAACAAGAATGAAGAGCAACTACAGTAACTACTATAGCTTAGACAATCTGCAGCAATAGTATTAACAAACAATAATTTACAAATGGACAACTAGGTAAAGAGATATGCCAAGAGGTGTGGGAGGATGTAGGGGAACACACTCACTGGAAAATACAGGTTTAGTGGTTAACATTTCCACATACATGATTGTAGGAGTAGCTCATATAAAGCACACATGGGGTATAGTCAGGGAAACATAACCAAACACCTCACAGGATGAAGTTCCTAGGCTAAAAGACAAAGGACCACAGACTCAGGGGACATCTACGTCACCTGACAAAATATAATACATAAAGACAATGTTCTGCAGCCTACTTTGGTGAGGTGTCTGGGATCTTAAAAGATTGCAAGCGGCCATGTAAGATACAACTATTGGTCTCTTCCTGTCCAGAGTGCGGGAGAGTTAAGGAGACTAAAGAATCAAGGCAGCAATTAGTCTTAAAGGACTAATGGATCACATGAACCACAGCCTACACAACCCCGAGACCAGAGCAAACTAGATGGTGTCCAGCTACCATTTCTAACTGCTCTGACTGGGATCAAAACAGAGGGTCCTAGACAGAGCAGGAGAAAATTACAGAACAAAAAATGAAATTCACACAAAAAAAAACAGGTTTGCTTTGTCTAACAGAGACTGGAGGAGCCCCCAAGGCTATGGCCCTAAAACATCCTTCTGACCTGGAAATGAAGCCGTTCCCAGAGACTACCTCCCAGCCAAACAAGAGACAAGCACCTAAGATAAACAATAATATTCAGGAAGAATGTACTCCTTAGAACAATCAATTGTAAGAGATCAAAAAGGCATTATCTGCCCAAGAGCAAAGATGAGAAGGCAGGATGGGGTAGAAAATCAGGATGAAAGAAAATGGGGAAACCAGGGTGGAAATGGCGAGAGTGGTGACACATTGTAGGGAATGAAACCAAGGCCATGACCACTTCTTATACACAAACTATCGAATGGGAAGCTAATATGCTCTGTAAATTTTCACCTAAAGCACAATACAAAAAAAGACGTAAGAGCCCAGTTGAAAGGGCTCCCACTGGCCAAATCTGGAACACTTTGAGAATCAAAATAAATGATAATAATAATGTAATTTAAGGACCCTAAAAGGAGCCCTGGCACACAATTGTCAGCGTTCAACTGCTAACTGAAAGGCTGGCAGTTCGAACTCACCCAGCAGCTCTGTGGGAGAAAGACCTAGATATCTGCTCTGGTAAAGATTACAGCCTAGAAAACCCTACGGGTCAGTTTTACTTTGTCACATGGGGTCACTATGAGTCAAAATCAACTCAACTCAATGGCACCTAACAACAAGAAACGTGCCTTTGGAATTCTCTGACCCAGACTCCCCATCTTGCTGCAGGAGGACCTCACCTAAGGTGCATGTAAGCTTCCCCAATCCCCTTCTCCTCTTCTCTGGGAGCTTTCCTGCCCTCTTCCCCTTCTAGTGATTCCTCCGGCAGACCTCCACTGTGGGGGGTCCCCAGCGTGAAGCTGTCCATGCATCAGCTCCAATAAATAGTTTGCTGTGCAATGCTGTCTCATGATCATATATCTTTTCTTGATCAGCCCCAAATTTCCTCAAAATCACTATAACCATGATAAACCAAAAAAACAGTTGTTCAGTCGATTCTGACTCATGGCGATTCTGTTTATGTCAGAATAGAACTCTGCTCCATAGGGTTTTCAATGGCTAATTTTTTGGAAGTAGATTACCAGGTCTTTCTTCTAAGGTGCCTTTGGTGGACTCAAACTGCGAACCTTTCCATTAGCAGCCGAGCGCTTAACCTTTTGCACCATCCAGCGGCCCTATAACTATGATAAATAGGTTTAAAATGTATGAACAGGAACATTAGGTCCACCAATAATTAACAATTATTTACCAATTAGGTCTACTGACCACGCTATTTAAACTGCTGCCATCCCTACCACACCTCTGGCCAATTACTCTATAGAATATTATCCTGTTCACTTACTTCATAAGATGTATCACAATTTTAAATTATCTTGTTTATTTGTGTGTTTACTGTGTTCTCTTTCATTTGTATGTAAGCTCCTTGAGGGCAATGATCTTCATCTGTCTAGTCCACCAGTGTATCCTTCATGCCCAAAATAATGCCCAACACACAGTCACCCTCAAGTAAACATTTGCTGAATTAATTAATTAATACCTGTCCTGTTCCATCATTTCAGAAATAGATGGATTTTTGGAAAAAAATTCTCTTAGAGTTTCCGTTCTTTTACGTTTTTTTCTTGGCACTTCTGAAACCTTAATAGAGGAGATAAAAATGTTACAAACTAAATTGAAACTTTGAACATAATACTAAATATATTCATACTCTTAGGCTTATTTTATGACACTGAAATACACTGGTTTCTTTATACCCCCCAATTAAAATTACTATCAAAAGTAACAGAAGTACCCCTTTAGACAAAAAATCTGATTATAAAAATATCCATACAACAACTTCAGAATTGAAAAATATTGTTTAATTATAAATTATGTTTGTTTTTATTTCCTTCTGTTTCATATTACAATAAACTAAAATGCAGTTAAATCATCTCTAGGTATATGAATCTCTTAATTTATGAGCTTAAAATTTGAAACTTGTATGAAACTTACTTTTCCAATCTCCATTACTACAGCTTTGAACTTCTTAATAGGTTTGTTCGGCTTTTTATTCAAAGTATTGTCCCTAAATTTTGGCCTTTTTACTCCAAGCAGGGACTCATTCCTCCTAATACAAAAACATAAAATCAGTCAAAAGGATTTGCAAAAACTTGCAGACCCACCTCAAAGTAACAGATCCTTAATGAATGTTGTCACTGAAACTATGTAGAAGTTATACCCAAAATTGCTTGTGTCCCATGTGTAAGTTAGATTGTGATATCTCTGTCATCAAAGAAATGCTGGCCTCTCCGAGGAGAAAAATGGAATGAGAACTGATGTGTCTATAGGAAAAGGAGGAACAGCTAAAGGCATGAGTGGGAGGAAAAGAACTGGTCTGGGAATAAGGCAACTTGAGTACCTCCCTTTACAACTGAGAACACTACATAAGAGTGATCTAGACAAGTTATCTTGCTTCCAACAACCATGAGTCTTTTGGTTTCATCATGTACAAGCTCCCAGCCACTAACCACTTCTGAATGCCAGCAGGAACTAAGCTTCTTAGATTCTGGCTAAACTCTTCCTGCCTCCAATAACCTGCAGGGTTTTTTAACCTTGTTTCCTTAACTTGCCATGGACCACTGTGGTAACCTAGCCCCTTCTCCAAATACTGCAAAGTCTCTCATTTTCCCTTTATTGATGCTTACCACCTATGTTTCCTGAGATTTATATATTTCCTGAAATTCGTATTTTTTTTGGCAAGTACTTGCCAGGTACAGCAAAAATTCTGCTATAAAATGGTAAGTGGGATCCAAAAACTTAAAATGCATAAATGCAGGGTCACATCATGGCAAGGCTAATGAAATGGCTGAGTGAGCCTGGATAACTAGTTCTAGGAACTGGGGTGTATGATTCAAATTTATCTTGGTCCCAGCAGCAATTTGCTTCTGGCTTCCATTTTGATAAGATGACCCTGGATCCTGTAGTTGGTTGGGACTCCAGCCCAGCTGCAGCAATTCTGACAATCTCCCAGTTAATTGGCATTCATTTTGGCAAACGTTTTGTCTTCCTAAACTAGGAAGCTTGGATCAGTGATCACTGGAGACTTGGGATCCATTCTCTGTTTCCTGCATCCTGAGCCTATTTTCCAACCACCTTTGTCACTCTTCTATGCCCTCCCTCTCCCCCAACCCCCACAGAAAACCAAAACTTTGGCCTGTGACCATTTGAGAATGGAACTGAATATAGTACTGAAGCTAATCAACAATAATTATATTTAATTTTTCACTGACAGCACATCTTCCCAGGGTTTAACTGTATATCATTATCTATTCCTTTATTTTCAACAATTGCATCGTTTTGTTTTAGGTATCTCTCTTGATGTTGTTAGTTTCCATAGCACCGGTTCTGACCCATGGTGACCTTAAGTATCACAGAACAAAAGATGGCCAGGTCCTATGCCATCTTCATGACCACTGGTATGTTTGAGTCCATTGTTGAGGCTATTGTGTCAATCCATTTCATTGAGGGTATCCCTTGTTTTCGCTGACCCTCTATTTTACCAACCATAATGTCCTTTTCTAACAATTGGTCTTTCCTGATGATGTATTCAAAATAAGGGAGACGAAGTCTTTTCATCCCCACTTCTAAAGAGCGTTCTGGTTGTATTTCTTCTATGAGTGGTTTGTTAATTCTCATGGCAGTCCACGGTATATTCAATATTCTTCACCAATACCACAATTTAAATGCATCAATTCTTCTTCTGTCTTCCTTTTTCATTGTCCAGCTTTCACATACATATCAGGCGATTGATAAGACCAGGGCTTGGGTCAGGCACATCTTAGTCATCAAAGTCTGGTTGTTGTTGTTGTTTAAGTGCCGCTGAGTTGGTTCTGACTCATATCGACCCCTACGTGCAAGAGAAAAATACACTGCCCATCCTGCACTATCCTCACAATTGTTGTTATGTTTGAGCCCACTGTTGCAGCCACTGTGTCAATCCATCTCATAAAGGGTCTTCCTCTCTTGACCCTCTACTTTACCAAACATGATGTCCTTCTTCAGGGACTGGTCCTTCCTAGTAACATGTCCAAAGTATGTGAGATGAAGCTCACCATCCTCGCTTTTAAGGAGCATTAAATGCAGTAAACCACATTTAATTGGATTTTTAAAATCTAGTCTAAATTTAATCCATTTATATGTACTTTGATTACTGAATGTTTGGATTTATTTCTACCATATTATTTAGTGTTATGTATTTTTCATGTCTTCTCTTCATCCCTTTTTTCTCCTTGTCTTTTCAATTTATACTTTTATTTACAGCTGTCCCTCAGTATCCGAGGGGGATTGCTTTCAGGACCCCCACGGATACCAAAATGCTCAGTCCTTATATAAAATGGCATAGTATCTGCATTAACCTATGCACATGCACCCTGCCCCGCATATACTTTAAATCATCTCTAGATTACTTACAATACCAAATACAATGTAAATGCTATCTAAATAGTTGTTAATGCTTCCCCTTAACACTTAATGCTTTCTTAGTCTTTGCAAGCACTTTATCATGAACCAGAGAGACCATTTTTGCCATTGTAGGGGCAGAACTAATACTTCCACGAATTTCAGCTTCATGTTTTATTGTGTGAATGCTCGATTTGTTCTTACGACTTTACAGTCCACTTCAGCAAGCAACATGCCACTTATCAAAAGATCTAAAACTTTCATTTTCTTGTTGAGAGAGAGCACTTTATGCTCCCTCTTAGCGTTTGAGAGATTGCTTTGACCACTTTATTGTTTTTTAGAAGCCATTTTTTCACAGAAACAAAGAGTGCACACAACACAAGTAGCCAATAAATAAGACACAGGCAAACAATGCTCAACCAATGAGTGCTGGAGGGAGACTGAGGATCTGTGAAATGGCAGGAGGCTACAGTAGGGTATGCCTACATATCCTTTCATTTGTGTGGATTCAACATAGTGCTCGTTGCATGGTAAATTCAAGTTTTGCTTTTTGGAATGTTCTCTTTTTTTTCCAGATATTTTCCATCTGTGGTTGGTTGAATCCATGGGTGTGGAACCCGTAGATATGGAAGGCCCTCACTCTCTTTGACTCATAGAAGTCAAACATTCTATTTCTAGTGTAAAATTTTAATGGTTATTCATAAATTTTTACCACACATACTTAATTTAAAATTTTCTAAAAATAGCTAAAGCTAATCAGTATCTCTATCCTTCTACAGAGCAGGATATTCATTAAAAATAGTAATTCCCTCTTAACTGTGGCTGCTCCTTCTACTTCTGTATTATTATTTGTTCTAAAGTATTTTTCATTTTTATGTTTGCAACAGGAAACTGTGGGCTCCTGTATCAGAAGTCAATAGTTTAGAATTCTCCTTTCCAGACTATTATTAAGGTTTACTTTAAAACATGTCTTCTCTGATTCCTGGGCACATCATCACCACCCATTTAGATGTAACTAAACCTATATCCCCCCAGTGATCACTGCTCTTCACCAGCTTGCGAATTTCACACTCTAATTCACCTTATACTTCATTAATGTACTTGCTCAGATAGAAAATATGAGTAGCATACTCTTTGAGGCTTTACATGTCTGAAAATATCTTCTTCTCCTCCCTCCGACAAATAATCTTGTCAGTGAATAAGATTCTTGGACGCTCTTCCTTTTCTTTAAAAGGTCTGCAGATAATGCTCTACTTTATTCTAGCTTCTAGTGCAGGAGATAAGAAACCTAGTGCTAATCTGATCCTCCTTTGTTTTTAAGAGACTTGTTCCTTCAATCTGATTACTTGTAAAATTTTCTTTTTAGACTTGTAATTTCACCAGGATAATATGGGTATATGTCTTCTTTCATCAATTTAGTGAGCTCTTTCAATAGTAGTTGTTGTTGCTGTGTGCCACGGAGTCAATTCCGACTCATAGCAACCCTATAGGACAGAGTAGAACTGCTCCATAGAATTTCCAAGGAACGGCTAATAGATATGAACTGTCAATCTTTGGGTTAGTAGCCTGAGCTCTTAACCACTTTGCCACCAGGGCTCCTACAGGGCAAGGTTCAAATAGTCACCGCGAGAATATTTTCTTCTACTATTTCTTAAATTATTATTTCTTCAATGGTTCTTGGTCTCCTGGGACTCCCACAATAAGTGGATGTTAGGTCTACTGGATCTGTTGCCCACATCTCTTATCTTCACTCTCCATGTTATATAACATTTCTTTCTCTTGATCTTTCAAAGCACAATTTGCTACTCAATATTGATTATGCTCTTTTTTAGTTTATCTACTGACTGTTTGGGGCCCTGGTGGCAGAGGGGTTAAGCCTCTGGCTGTTAACCAAAAGGCTGGCAGTTCAAATCCAGAAGCCACTCCTTGGAAACTCTATGGGGCAGTTCTACTCTGTACTATACAGTCACTATGAGTCAGAATCAACTCGATGGCAATGGGTTTGGTTTACTGAATTTAAAATATAGAAATAATATTTCTTCATTCCCAAAAAGACTTTTTGGTGAGTGTGACTGCTCTAATTTCTGTAATTTTAGTCTCCTTGGAAGTTTCATTACTTTCCTTGTTAAAGTTCTCTTCCATTTCTTCCATTAGTTTTTTCTAAAACGAGCCAACTTTACCATTAGTTCAGCTTGGCCTTCCTTCTCATGTTCCTAAGTCCCTTTAGATAAGTTGTTTTTTTTTTTTTTTTTTTCCTTACTAATGAACCACATGGAGCTCTGGTGATACAGTGGTAAGAGCTTGGCTGCTAACTAAAAGGTTGACAGTTCGAATCCACCAGCCACTCTTTGGAAACTCTATGGGGCAGTTCTACTCTGTCCTACAAGGTTGCTGTGAGCTGGAATCGACTTGATGGCAACAGGTTTGGTTTTCTGGTAACTGTTTTAGTCATCTAGTGCTGCTGTAACAGAAATACCACAAGTGGATGGTTTTAACAAAGAGAAATTTATTTCTTTAAAGTAGGCTAAAAGTCCGAATTCAGGGTGTCAGCTCCAGAGGAAGGCTTTCTCTCTTTCTTGGCCTTCTCATCAGCGTTCCCTCGGACTAGGAGCTTCTCGGGGCAGGGACCCCAGTCCAAAGGACACGCTCTGCTCCTGGCATTGCTTTCTTGATGGTATGAGGTCCCCAACTCTCTGCTTGCTTCTCTTTCCTTTTATCTCTTGAGAGATAAAAGGTGGTGCAGGCCACACCCCAGGGAAACTCCCTTTACATTGGATCAGGGATGTGACCTGAGTAAGGGTGGTGTTACAATTCCACTCTAATCCTCTTTAACATAAAATTACAATCACAAAATGGAGGACAACCACACAATTCTGGGAATCATGGCCCAGCCAAACTGATACACACATTTTTGGGGGGACACAATGCAATCCATGACAGTAATGAACCACATAGGTCAGAATGTTGGACTGTTTCAAACAGTGGAAAATCAATAGATTCTGGTGAGCAAGCAGAAAATGATCTGGCAATATTTTATCCTCTATTGAGTCATAGAGAGAAAGTCTTCTGCTCCTAGGTTTTTCACAGTGCATGCAGCAGTCCTTTCTCACTTCCATAGATAAGAAGCATTTAAGCCCACCTACCTATGCAGTTCCCCTCTAGGTATACTGGGGTCTGCAGGATTGGTCAATATCTTCTGCCTACAAAGCTTGAAACTGTCCTTCTCTGAGGGATTCCAGGCTTTTAATGGATGGTTCACTTCAGAAGTCCATGAAATCATGATTTTTACCCTGAGTCTCACAATCATGAATTTCTTGCTCTATTATGAGCCTTCCACCACTCTTGGAACTAGGGAAAATGAATCCCTTGAACTCAATATCACTTCTGGAAAGCCAAGAGGAACTTCTATCAGAAATTCACCATCCAGGCTCCACCAGAATGCTGGTCTTGGTTGCTATGTTATTCTAGGAAGAGATGGGAAGGAAAGGAGGTCATAGGTGTACACTTAGGCTACCATTTTCCCTTTTAGCTCTGCAGCAATTCATGCACTGAGTAAATTAAACTCCTCCACATCCTATACCTCTTCACAGAATGCTTCCTCCTAGCTCTGACTGACTGCTTTTTATTTTGTTTATGGTGTGTTTTAATAAATAACATTTTAAAACTCTTATGTGGTCAGTGTTATTGAACTTTTATTCCATGGCTTATTCATTGCTTTTGTTACTTATACTAGATTCCTGTTTCTGTATCAGTTGAATCCCATTTGCTATCTGCCTGTTATTTCACAAGCACAGCTCTTCATACTTTATCTAAACCCCTCCTTTTTTGCTTTTTTTAAAGTTTGTTAAATATTTTTTATTATTCCAAACCATTCTACATAAACTAATCTAATTGAAACTTTTCTTGGAATTGCATTAAACCAACAAATTAATTTGAAGATTATAGAAATCTTTAAAATATTCGTTCTACTCAGTGAGTAATGTACTACATCTCTCCATTCTTTCTTCTTCTTATTATTATTATTTAAATTCCTTAGTAAAGTTGTTTGGTCTTCCTCTTATTAGCCTAAGTCCTTCACAATTCCTGATAAATTTAATCCTATGTGCCATAGAAATGGGATCATTTTTCCATTATACTTTCTAATTGATACAGGAAAACTATTGATTTTGCATCTAACCATCCTACAGAATTCTCTTATTAGTTCTAATAGTTTTCAGTTAATTATCTTGAGCTGAAGTTTAAAAAATAATTATTTGCAAATACTGATAATTTTATCTCTATTTTCAGAGTACTTTAGTGTGTAATTCATTTAACAAACCTTTTAAAACCCTATTATGTGATAATTGTATAAGTTCTGGTTCCAGTTCTATTTCTTGTTTTAATGCAGTGGTCAGAACTTTCAGAACAATATTAAATTATAGAAGGAATAGCAGGTGTCCTTGTTATAAAGCTGATGTTAACAAATATTCTTCTAATCCTAATTTGCCAGGAATGGTTGCTAAATTTCACCACATAACGTTTTAGCACTAAAGACTCTTGAACAGTAGTGACAATTATATTAATAGATTTCCTAACATATTTGCATGGAGAATAAAATCGAGAAGACATTTTCACTGCCAAACTTACATGTTAGTATTTTGTTTTGGGTATTTGCTTCTATATACTGCTCAGTAAGATTGATCCAAAATTTTCTACCTTTTTATTCTCTCTCTCTTTTTTCTTTTTTAATCAGAGTCTGTTACCAGATCCAGCTTTGTTAAATTAACTAAGAAACTTTAGAGCTTTTTCCATGTTCAGAAGTAGCTTTGTGTAAAATGGAATTTGTTCCTTAAAAATATGAAAGAACTACCTTAAAAATTGTCTGGGCTATCCAAATTTTATTACTACTTAGATCAATTCTTATAAATTTTTCCAGATAATCATCACTTTCAACTAGATTTTCAAATTTATTAGTATTAAATTGTACATACTGTTATCTAATATTTGTTCACCCTCTTCCAAATTTATGATTATTTTCTCTTTGGATTACATGTATTTCTTTTTCTTATGATTATGTTGTGGTGGTGGTGGTGGTTGTGTGCCATTGAGTTGATTCCAACTCATAGCGAACCTATCAGACACAGCAGAACTGCTCCATAGGATTTCCAAGGCTGTAAATCTTTATGGAAGAAGACTGTCACATCTTTCTACCACAGAGTGGCTGGTGGGCTCAAACCACTGACCTTTTGGTTAGCAGCCAAGCACTTAACCATTGTGCCAGCTGAGCTCCTTTTTTCTTATTATAATACTCATAAATTTACCTAATTTATTCATATTTTCAAAGAATCAGCTCCAGCAGTTATCAGCTGGGCTATTTTGAAACCACTTTACAATTGATAGCTTCAACTTTTATTTTTGTTTCCTTCTTTCTGCTTTCTTAGTTTTTTATTTTTTTGTTTAATTTCTTGAGTTCACTCTAAGTTCATTTAATTTTGCTTTCCTTGTTTAGTAACAGAGGTTTCTGAAGCTAATAATTTGCCTCTAAAAGTTACTTTGGGTACATTTGATATGTAAGGTTTCTCATTATCATTATTTTCAAAAGTATCTCTACTTTCAGTTAGATTTATCGATCCAATAATTACTTATGCCAGTATTTTATTGTTATAAAATTTCAGTTTTATTACAATGCAAGAGAATGTTGCCTTTGCAAATTTTAATCTAGGTGGTTTATTGAGCTTTACTTTGCCGCTTAGTTTTTTTTTTTTTTAATTCTGTGAATTCATTAAGGTATTTAGTCTTCATCGTCTGTATCTACTAAACTGATTTTATTAATTATATTATGTACCTCTTCAACGTTCTTTTTAGTCTTTTTTAAAGTGCCATATTAAACTCTCTCAATATTATTATGCTTCTGTAAAATTAGTCTTGTTTTTTTCAGCAGTTATTTCCATATATTTTGGCTTTCTGTGATGCAGAACACAAAAGTTCATGAAATATCTTCACTGTGATCTATATAAGTATTATTGGTAGAATCACTTACTTTGAATGTGAAAAAGGTGGCATAAGTGATGAAAACGATTATCCTTTAAATTTTACAGGACAATTGATAGTCTGTTTGGAAAAATAACTAAAATTTAATCCAAATCCCCATGCCAAAATAAATTCCGTATGGATTAAAACACTAAATTTAAATCATGAAACCGTAAAATTGGAAGAAAATACAGATCAGTATGTCTGTTGCAGTATGAAAAAAAAAGTTTACATTCAAAAACATGGTAGGCATGTGAAAAGAAAAATAAAATAGATTTTATTATCAAAGTAGAAATCAAGATATTGAATCTATATTCCCTGACTTGGTGAAGAGCATCCTAAAAGATCTGCTCAGCCTAGAAAATTGAAATTATTGAAATTATTACCTTTCTGTTGAATTCAGTTATACTGCTCAATCTCCAGCCTCAGGTTTTTGTGATTATACCACTGTACGATGCTTCTAAGCCATTTAACTCTGTTTTCCTCTTTGAGAATATCTATTATTCTTAGGTTGGACCTCCACGGTCAGCCCTCCAAATTTCTCTGCTCATTGAAAGTGTCTTCTGATTTTCTTTAGTATCAAGTATATTATTTACAGATCCCAAACATCTAATTTTGGCTATGATTTTTTTCAATTTTATGAAACTGTCTAATTCTGACCAATTCCCTTATTACCATGGCCTGCTTCACTAATTGAAGCAATTTCCTCTTCTATCATTTGAAAATACAAAGCAAATATATTCTAAGCTTTTGTTCTAGTAAGTGAAGTGCCCATTTTAAGAATATTGTCTTGTATGTTTTTAGGGGAATGCGTTTCTTCTCTTTTCCTGCTTCTTTTAAAAATAGATTTCATGTTATTGATATTTACTTTTATTAAAATGGAATAGATATATCTCATTTTTGAAAGAAAAGCCCATTTGTCAGAAGAAAAGTTGGATTCATTCTAATTTTGGCATCTCTCATAATAGGCATGAGACACGAGACCATGTCAATGTTCTTTGGGGTCAAAGAGAATCATTCAGGCCTAGAGAATGAGAGGGATAGCTTTAAGTTTTACTATTTCTATTTGAGGAACACCCCATTCACATATACAAATGGAAATCCCAAGGAATGGTCCCTCTTCTGTGGGCTCAGCTTCCTACTGTAGAGGAATTAAACAGGGTAAGTGACCAAAACTGGATTAAAAATCCCATGTGAGAAGGAGCTGATGGCCTGCAGGTGATATTATCCATCCTGATTCTATAGAAAAGAGGCCTTATCTATTTCCTGTTATAAATTTGAATGTGCTCTATTCTTATTTCAGTTGTATAAAAATTTTTATGTTTATTTATTTACACACAGAGGCATAAAACTTCACTCTCCTCCAGATGGTTGTTTTACCTCCACCCTCCTTATGTATCTTAATATTTATAAAACTGATGATACTAGTACCTTTTCAAGTAGTCATGGACAGGAGTTGTTATCTCCACCATAAGGTGAAATTTTTCATCATTTATGCATTTTAGCATAACTTGTGTAAAGAATTCCAGGAATCTAGGTCTCTGCTTAAATTTCATAACTGTAAAAACAAGGAATTTCACATAGAGTTACCAATATAGTTGTGCTGCTGAAAGGTTACTTACTAGTGCTAATAGTTATTTTGGTCCAACAGGCAAGCTTATTAACTGGCTTTTTATATTTGTCACTTTAAAAATATATATACAGGAATAAATGTGGTGTGAACTATTGTCTTTCTAAGCTCAAGTATTTCCTTATGGTCAATTTTTCATTTATTTTCCAAATATCTCAATGTTGAGAAAGCTTTCATAAATGTTGCCTCTATAATATGATTCATCAGGGGAAAAATGACTGATAATTATTAGAATAAATAGTCATTCTAATTTTTATTACATTTCACTCTGGGTTAAACAATAATGTTGTTATTTTCATCATGCTTAACTTAAAGATCACTAACGCATTTTTTCAATATACTAGCTTTTGTAAGTTTCGTTTTAACATTGTTCACTACCAAAATAAGCCACAATCAAGATTCTGTCTTTCCAGACATTACATCAGGTACCTATTTAGGTCACTTTCATTACTTGGCAATAAGATTCTACATTATCCTGAATCAGTAAGAACCCAAAATCTTCCACCTAGAAAAGGTGACATTTTTAAGCAGGTAAAAACAACAAAATCCACAGAACTAATGATCTTCAATAGTAAGTCAAATGAATAGCACATGCACATTTAGGTGGCCCACCTTCTTTCACAGAGCCTTTGACTGACCAGTTTAAAACTATAGGGTAGAGAAATATAGGGTCCTCTGCTCCTGAGAGTTCAGTTCCAACATCTAAAGTAAAAAAAAAAAAAAAATTAATAAGTTGTAGGTTCTGTGTAACGTGAATAACAAAAACCAAAAATTCTTTAGGGGAATGAAAAATAAGAAAATACGCAAGTATTCATTCTAAATTATGTGCCTTAAAATATCAATTATATTATTATAGTTTTGGTGATAAAAAGAATTCATTAATCTCAATTATTATCCTGTCATTTTTACCTTAAAAGCCAGGAAATCCACCATCAAACAGGTGGAGAATTTCGAGGGCATGATTCTCTCTTGTTCAACAGCCATCATTAAGCTGCAAACCCCAGGCCCAAAAATCTACCAACTACATGCAACTCCATTTTAATAAGACCATCTCTGAGAGGCAGTGAAGTATAGAATGATGAGCAGCACAGCCACTGGAACCAGACTGCCTGGTTTCTAACCCTGACACTTATTAGTTGCTACATCTTGGGAAAGTACTCAGTTTCTCTGTGCCTCACTGTCCCTATCTTTAAAATGGGGATGATAATAATAGTATCTTCCTAATACGGTTGTTATATATGGGTTCTATGAATTTTAATATGTATAAAACACCTAAAATAGTGCCTATCATATAGAAAGCACTATACAAAACTTATTTTTTTTATTGTTGTTGTTACTGAATCTACTGTTTTGCTAGTAACATTACATTCTGCTTCTTGGTAAAATGCTAATTTTTATTAATATTGTGAAAATTAATCATTCAAATCTCTAGAACATTCAGAACACTTTACATTTTCATGAACTGTATTTTTATATGTAACCAGACAGCTTTCTCAAAACTAGGTTTACTGCTTATGGGAATAATATACCCCTTGCCATCAAGTCGATGGCAGAGAACTGTCCCATAGGGTTTCCAAGGAGCGGCTGGTGGATTCGAACTGCTGACCTTTTGGTTAGCAGATGAGCTCTTAATCACCGCACCATTAAGGCTCTCATGGAAATAACAGAGTATTGGATTCAATTCATAATTCAGCTTGAAACAGGAATGTAACATATTAAAAGGGAGAGAGAGATCCAAGTCAGGGAACCCAAAACAGTAGGGCAACCAAGATATGACTGAGGCACACAGCAGGAGAGATAAGGTGGGGACATGGAATTCTATAATTGTGGTTAATTTCAAAAAGACTGTGGGGCCAAGTGGAGCCTCCTACTTGGAGAAATTTGGGTACTCTCTTGTTCTACTAGAAGATTTGAAGTATTTGCTTTTAAAAAATGTGATGATACTTATCGCCAGAAAGTAAATCAACTTTCTAAGCAGCTTTCCAAACTCCAAACTCCCAATTATTGTGTTATCATATTAGTCCGTTTTGAAATTACTACCGCTCAAAGACCTAAAATTAAACTCTTATCTTTAGAGTAAACCATAATTCAAACCACTCACACACTGACACTCCTCACTGTCCTTTTATTTCTCAGCTACACTTTTGTCTTCAGAGTAGTGGTTCTCAACCAGGGGACATTTGTCAACATTTTGTCTCCCAGTTATGACACTTGGTTGTCACAACTGGGGGGTGGGGGGAGGGGAGGCTGCTGCAGACATCTAGAGGGTAGAGACCAGGGATGCTGCTCAACATCCTACAATGCCCAGGACAGTCCCCCACAACAAAGAATTATCTGGCCTAAAATGACAACAGTGCTTTAGAATCAGAAGACTTAGGCTCAAGTTCAAGCCAGCTGTGTAATCCTAAATGAATCGCTTAATCTTTATGAGCCACATCTGTAAAAAGTGGTTAACAATTCCTTATTAACAGGGCGTTGTCAGGATTAATGACATAAAGTAAAAGTACTGTGTAAACCTTAAAGGGCTTACCAAATGCTAATGTCATCTTAATCCTTTTAACAAAATATTTTCTAGTTTTAAAAAAACATAATGCTAAACAGAAGTATACAGAAAACAAAATAATTACATTGCTTTGTCAGTTTGAGTAGGTGCGTCTCCAATAAGGCCAGCTGTTCGTTTATTTTTTCAGGCACTACTATCTGCTGTGGCTTCTTAGTCTTTAAACACTTCTTAGAAGAACCCTAGAAACATTGGTTAAATGTCAGTACATCAACAAATTTCAATAATTGTCATTTTCAAACGACATTTTTAAACTATGTTTTTATACTTTCATGCTTGGTAGACAAAATTATGATAAACAGGGCTAAAAAATACTAATTAATAATAACAGCAATGCATTTGAACTAAATGCCAGACATAATTCTAAGTACTTTTGGGAGACTTAACAAAGTATTTCTTACTCTCCCCTCTCCCTTCCTCCCAGTGATTTCCCAGCCCCCTCCAATATATACACTCTTCTTAAAGCAGCTGAAGATGTGTCTCTCAAAATCTTCAAAAGAAAATTCCCAGCATGCCCTCAGAAACGTATCCTTTTATCTCTTTTTTCCCTTTCTTTTTCCCAGGAGGATCTTTTTTACAACTAAGCTGATTGCCTTTACTACTTTGCCTTTCACTGAAGCATAACAGGATGAGTAATTAATGGATTAAGAATTGGCATGTCTGCACTCAGGCATCCCAAAATGTTTTCAACAACTGGAAGCCTGAGAAGTGGCCAGTTAATGTTTCTTGCTCTTCTCTCAAAAATCTTCCCCTGCCCGTTTGGGCTTAAAGGGACCTTCAGTGGCTTTAATGATTTCTGATTCCTATACATTAAGTATTATCTTCTTTAGTCCCTACAGTCTTAGTCAAAAGGAAGTATTACAACCTCCTGCTGCACTAGAGGCTACCATGATGTGAAGGGTCAGGGTCCTGAGTCAGGGCCTGGGTGAAATCAAGGGCTGGCTGATGGACTTTGAGATTAAACAACACTTGGTGAAAACCACCTCAAGTTGTCTCCGTTTGATTAAAACTCCCTCTAGACAAAACAAAAGTATTATGGTTAAACAGTGATTTTTGAAACCTTTTATGGCAAACAAGTGCTTACTTGGAAATTCAATACATAATAGAAATGGAGCTACTCTAACTGAAACAGGGTCAGGGATGAGTCTCTTTCCCCACCCCAGTCACGGAGGGGGCTTCAAGGAATTCTTAGTGCTCCTCAGAAATCTGATAAACTAAGTAATATTTCAAAATTGGGTCTACAAAAACATTTAGCTGCATAGTTTCTTTCTTTTTTTTTTTTAACTGTGCTTTAAGTGAAAGTTTACAGTTCAAGTTAGTTTCTCATACAAAAATTTATACACATATTGTTATGTGACCCTAGTTGCTCTCCCTATACTGTGACAACACACTCCTGCTTTCCAACCCGGATTGCCTGTGTCCATTCAACCAGCTCCTGTCCCTTTTTGCCTTCTCATCTCACCTCCGGACAGGAGCTGCCCATTTAGTCCCATGCATCTACTTGAGCTAAGAGGCACACTCTTCACAAGTATCATTTTATGTCCCATATTCCAGTCTAATCTATGTATGAAGAGTTGAATTTAGGAATGACTTTAGTTTTGGGCTAACAGAGAGACTGGGGGCCATGTCTTCCAGGGTCCCTCCAGTCTCAATCAGACCATTAAGTCTAGTCTTTTTACTAGAATTTGAGTTCTGCACCCCACTTTTCTCCTGCTCTGTCAGGGACTCTCTGTTATGTTCCCTGTCAGGGCTAACTGCATAGTTTCAAGGAAAGGCAATAAACCATAGCTTTTAGTAAGACCCATGCTCAGGAGGCAAATAATTTTAAGTCTCAGAAATTAGCAGTCTCACAAAGTAGACAATTTAGGTATTACGATGAGTTCCAGAAATCTACTTTCAATAGAGAGTAAAAAACTCTGACATGTATTTACTACATTTAGTGACCCTCCCAAAACAATGAAATCTTAGTTTTGGAAGAGGCTTTATAAGGCTTTTGTCTAACGATCAACTGAGTATAGGTAGCTCACTATCGTCACCTAACTATCAGTACTGGTGATGGGGTTACAAATGAGATCTGTTCCTAAGTGTGTCTTCAAGAATTTGTAGGTAAGTCAGAACAGGTGCCTATGGTTCTTACGCAGCCTTACTTTAGTGCAAGAAAAGGCTCAAAGCTTTTTCAATGATTTAAAAGCTGCACGTGCAGCAAGTAAAGGTTTTGTGTGAAGAATTTGTTGTGAGTAGGGGCTGATTCAGTAGTTTCAAAGTGAGGGCAAATTTATATAACATTAAAGGGCAAGAACAAGTTGTCCATAAGTCTGACATTCATAACCTGGGGACTGCCGGTACTCAGCATTCTAGCATGGATTCTCTTTTCATTTTCTTAACTACAATTCCAGGGAAGTAGCAGGAGGAGGAAGAAGAGAAGAGGGGTGGGGAGGGAGGAGTGGAGGGCAAGAGGGAAGAGGAGGAGAAGGATGGAGGAGGGAGAAAAGGTCTTCACTATATCACTTTTCTTCTGTGTAAATATGGAAAATTTAAAAATAACCTATTTTCTAGTATATTTAAGAGCCCTGTATGAATCCTAAAAGATCCAACTATATATATGTTTAAAGATGAGAAACAAAATCCAGTTACCTCATCTGTTGGTTCTTCTTGTTCACTAATACCAAATAGAGATCTGCATCCTGATGTGATGTCCAACATCTTTTTTCCATAATTTATAATCATTACTGCTAAATCATATTCCTTCCATGAACGCAGAATCTAATTAAAAATATTCATCAATTATCTCTGTTGAATACTCTTGTCTATTTTCAAGTGTCATACATCATCTTTCATAAATTAAAATGTCTTATAAATGTTTTGAGTCAAAGAATCCTCCTATTTTTGTTAAGGAAACTGGAAGTTTAGCTCTAGATCATATTTCCCTAGAACTAAAACTAAAACTGCATGATACCACTGTTGTTGCTATGTGCCACTGAGTCGCTTCCAACTCATTGTGACCCTATAGGACAAAGTAGAACTGCCCCATAGGGCTTCCTAGGCTGTAATCTTTATGAGACATCTTTCTCCCACATGGCGATTGGTTCTATTACTTTAAATAAAAGACTAATAACAGGATCTCATCAATATTGAATTCCTCATAATTCTCGGTCATATAGCCATATACATTTCGGTATAGTAAATTAACTATTAAGAAAATATTTCCATTCAAAAGACCTATGTTAAAGCAAATGAATTCTTAAAGACCACATAAGCACCACCTCTTGAGTTACTTCCTAGATGAAATGGAATAATTACTGACCTCATTGAGGTCTTAGGGGGGCATTTACATCAGTAAATAATTTACAAGACATTCTGGTAGACAACTGGGTTAGACATAAGCTATTTTTGGCAGATTCTCCATGAATCGTAGAGGAAGTGCAACTTTTTTCATAATAAGGGTAGTGGAGGGGGTGGTCCACTCTTCTTCTTACTCACATTGCCTATTTGTTGTTAGGTGCCATCGAGTCAGATCCGACTCATGGCAACCCTATGTACAACAGAACGAAACACTGTCCGGTCCTGCACCATCCTCACAATCACTGCAATGTTTGAGCCCATTGTTGCAGCCACTGTGTCAATCCATCTCCTTGAGGGTCTTCCTCTTTTTCATTGACCCTCTACTTTACTAAGCATGATGTCCTTCTCCAGGGACTTGTCCCTCCTGATAACATGTCCAAAGTATGTGAGACAAAGTCTCACCATCCTTGCTTCTAATGAGCATTCTGGCTGTACTTCGTCCAAGATAGTAACAGTAACATTGCCTATTACCAATTGTTATTCTTTGGCCTTCTCTACCCTGGCCCTTACCTACCTCTCGAGAGTAATTTTCCATCACTAATCTTCCAAAATATTGAGCCAAGTATAAATTCTGACACCATGGTGAGGACTTCATGCCGTACCACAGCTAAGCTACTTCCCAGAACAGCTTTCCCCACCTTATTAGTAGAGCTTTACCTTGTCAGTCACTAGGCTACTAACTGAAAGGACAGCAGTTTGAACCTACCAGCTGCTCCGGGAGAGAAAGATGTGGCAGTCTGCTTCCATATTTACAGCCTTGGAAACCCTATAGGGTCTCTATGAGTCAGAATCGACTCAACGGCAATGGGTTTTTTGTTTTACCTTGTCACTGAAAATTCAGATCTAGCATCAACTCCAGGAACGCTCCCTTGCCATCAATCTGATTTGCATATACCCTACTGTAGCGCAGTGTCATGTGAAGAAAACCTCTTCATTGTGAACTCCATTAGGGCAACTATCCAAGAGTATAAGTAAGCTTGGAGGAATTTGTTATACACAGCTGTATTCTATTAAGTTGAATACATTAGTATTTAAGTATCACCTGTGCTGCTCATGTAGGAAAGAAATATATAAGGTGGCTGAAGAATAGTGAGTGGCTGCTTAGATTTAATAAGACGTACGTTATGCAAAGTGCTGAGAACTAGAAATACCTCTGTGGGACCACAGCAATGGTGCTAAACTAATGCTGGCTGTAAAATGCATGTGGGAAGGAAAATGTTGAAATAAATTTTGAAAGAGTAGATGGGGATAGATTATGTAAAGCCTTGAAGATAGGCAAAACAGTCTAATCTCACTATAAAACTGATACGAGAGAGTGTGAGTTTTGTTATTAGAACACAAATGAGCTAACGTTTGTTCTACACTCTACTTAATTTCTGCTTTTCAACATATTTAGATCCTAGGTTTATAGAGAATTGTGCGATCTTTTCCCCTTGTTTTAATATGGTAGTAAAAAAAATACTAAATGATAAATTTTCCAATTAAAAAAGAGACCAATTATATATAACATACCAAATAATGAACAGAAATAAAATACCAGATATTTAGCGTAACAATATTAAAACAGTGCAAAAATAATTTAAGATGATGAGTCTCAGAAGTGGCATTTTAGTTGGAATTCTAGGTGGCGCAACGGTTAAGCGCCCCACTGCTAACCAAAAAGTTGGCGGTTTGAAACCACCCAGTGGCTCTGCGGGAGCAAGACCTACTAATCTGCTTCCATAAAGATTACAGCCAAGAAAACCCTATGGAGCAGTTCTTCTCTGTCATATTGGGTTGCCGTAAGTTGGACTCGACTCAGCAGCATCTAACAACAACACAACAGCAACTTTTAGGAAAAAAATACTGCTGCTTAAAGAAGAAAGACTGTGCCATCTAAAAAGATACCCATTGTTTAAACAGAACAAAGAAAACAAACAGCCACTTGAATAATTAGGTTTTACATTTCTTAAGAGAAAATTCAGTGGTGTTTATATCAAACGAACACCTGAAATCTGGGATTCAGGGCTAGTCTAGGTTTCTGGGACTGAGGCCATGCTGGAGAAAGCTTCTAGAATGGCAATTCTCAGCACATCAATTTAAAACAAAACTAGCTGTAATACCAAATCACATATACACCTTTAAAAAAAAATTCAAGAATACAGTGTCATTTCTGTAATAACATCACTTGGATTTCAAAGTTCTGTCAAGTGGGAAAAAAAGGGGAGTGTAGTCATGGCTGGTAAATCAGGAAATGCACAGAGCCAGCCCTGAAGCTGCCATGTGCTATCAGAAGCTAAAAGGGGCAGCATGTGAAGGTCAAGGACTCAAATGCTTGTTGGAAACCATGTTTATTCTAGGTCAGCACTCTTCTCCCATCTTCCATGTGGCTGTTGCAAACCCTCCCATTCTCCTCAAATCTCTGAAACCCGCCCTTGCTCTCCACCTCCTCAGTCTCAGCAAATGACCTTGCTTCCTTTGCACACAGAAAACGTAGGGAAATTTAGCTCATCTCCTATCCGCAGACCTACACACTCACTTGTACCTACGACCATCCCTCCCTCCTGTTAGAGAGGAGAGGTGAGTCTCCTGTCCAGACTAACCCCTCCCACATGTGCTTTGATCCCATTGCCTCCTGCCTTCTCAGGGATCTTACTCTGGTGGTCATCTCTTCTATAACAAAAAAGCCTATTAGTTATTGAAATATAGTGAGTAGTTGTTCATTGACCTGGAAGGAGAATGTAGTCTGGCTTTCTCTTACTGGAAAAAGACCACACTTCCCCTGGAAATACTTATTGATAGAAGGGTTTAGGGGAAAATGCCCAAGTAGATGAATATACTCCAAGTAACCTTGGAAGCCCAGGTGAGGTGCACTGTTGGTCCAGCACAACAATTAATATGTCTATAATTGTATTATTAGAAATGGAAGGGGGTATTTTGGATTGTATGGGACTCCTGCTTTCAATAGTTATACCATGTGACAATGGCAGAACTAGTAGCAATGGGAAAACTCTCAAGGTTGAGGAGGGGTGAAGAACAACAGAACAGCTTTGGACTAATCAAACTCTCCAATTCCTTCTCTTGCCTGGTGTTTCCAAGCAGGACTGGTCCTTTGGACTAAATGCTCTTCCTCTCTCATTTTAGACACTGTTCCTAAGTGACATCATCTGTTTCTATTGTTTCCATTGTACTCTACATGCTAATGACTCTATGTCTTTACACATATTTGGCTCTCCTGAGCTCCAGGCCTTTAGGTCCAATTATATAATGGACACCTCTTTAGATATCCTACAGATACCAAAATTCAATACGTTCAAAACTCATCTCCACCTTCCTATACAAAATTACTCCTCACCTAGGGTTCAGTGAATAGTATCATATTCATCCAATTGCCCAAACCATGTAGCTGAATACTATTGTTGACTCTTCCCTCTCCCCTCCTTATTCCCCATATTCAATGGGTTTCCAGATGCTCAGTTCTACCTCATAAACAACTCTTGAATCCTTCCAATTCTCTCTCCCTCCTACTTTTTCCACACTAGTTCAATTTAACATTTCTCAGGATCTAACTAATCCCTTGCCTCAGGTCTTATCCCGTTCTAATCATTAGCTACTGTGTAACCAGAATAACATTTTTTCTAAAATGCAAATCTCATTCCATCATTCCCAGGCTTGAAAACCTCAATGAATTCTCAATGACCTCAGAACATGGCCATTCATCATCTAGTACCTGTTTAATGCTCTACCTTTTAAGGTGACTGAGGCACTTAATCGTATCTTCCACAATTAAAGGTAAACTTGATTCTTTTCCAAAATTGAAAATTATTTCATATTTTCTCACTACTTCCTGAGGAAATCAATGTTAATGATTATGTATCCGTCATATATTTTCCCCACTCTAATATTTCCCTTTAAGCTTTGTTTATAGTGTCTCATCATAAAAAAATATGTTTTAACTATCATATAATTATCTACCTTTTTCTTTGTATTTTTTGAATTTTGTGCCTTGTCAATAAAAGTTTCCCCTAACTTCAAGGTCATATAAATATTTTTAGTTTATGGTGTGTGGTAGGGCTCTGGCTTTCTTTTCTTTCAGATGCATGATCATTTATACCAGCATCTTTTATTAAGTAAACTAATACAATAAATTTTTCTCAATGAATCAAATGCTACCTTTGTCATATATTAAATTCTTCTGTAGACTTGGGGCTATACCTGGACACCCTATACTATTTCATTTAACTCTTTGCCCATACAATTTTTCGCTAAAGTGGTTTTATGGTAAATTTCAATATCTATTAAGAACTTATAAATTATTTTATTCAGTTCCAGAGAAACCCCATTGGGATTCTGATTAGAAGTGCATTAAATTTAAATATTATTCTAGGAAGGATTTACATTTCTATAATATTAAGTCTTCTTATTTGGGAACCTGCCATTCC